CTCTGCCTGTCAGGGTTGCACCAAAATCAAAACACTTTATTACATGGGGGAATGTTGGCATATGCTGTCTGGCTTAAACCAACAGGCAGAAGGGAAGAGATAAGAGACATTCTTCAGCGGCCCAGAAACAAGACATGAGAAAGAGCCAGCATGATTGCAGTACTTGTTGTTCTGATGTGTTAAATAGCTGGCCTTCAACACCCCAATCAATCGCCGAGTGAGCCACTGTGTAGCCAAGGGTTGTGTGAGATAGCCAGATGGCTGAAGCCAATGGACCTTTGCTTTGTCTTTTGTGTCACAGACAATGATCGTGGACAGAGCGGAACACACAAAGCATTCCATCCACAATGTGTTCTCTGATTGATAAACTCGAATAGGTGTTTCAAGATGTATCATAGACAAAGGCTTTTAGGAATATCATAAAGCATCCCCAAAACAGCCTGCAACACCGCTGGCCTTGAGTGGCTTTTCTTGCTTTGGCCTACATCACCGGCTCGTCTGATGTGAGACGCAACACTGTACTGTAGATCAGCGTGACTCATGCTGCTGACCAAGCAAGCAGTGTGCAGCCAAAATGTAAAAGTCTTATTATTAAAACATCCATAGGACAAGACAGACATGTTGTATTTGCTCCAAGGTCTCCAGAGGCCACCGCTGACTAATCTGAAAACAATTCGCTCTGCAAGCCCCATTGCAAGTGGGAGAACAAGCCCCTTGTACAAGCTGTGACATTAACGAACACAGCGAGATAAGATATGGCTTGTTATCTTGGTGTATGGAACTCCTGCCTAGATAGGAGATAAGAGCATTTCAAAGCATGTCTGTTGCCAGAGAAATTTCCAAAGAAGCATGAGAGGTGGAGGAAAATGCAGGCCTGGAAGGCTGAGTTACAGTTGGAGTCCAGTTGGAACCAGTCTCATGAAGAACATAATCCCTCTGCCATTTTCCAACTCATTATAGCTTTGTTATTATCAATGCCATTTTCTGGGAATAATTCTAACTTGATGATGACATAAGCAGTCTTTACTGCAGTCCATGTGCAGCATTGTGGAATGTTCAGACAAAAAGACTTCAACGATTTCTTTCAAAATGGTAATGTAAAAATAAAAATAATTTACAAAATAGAGAGAAAATGGTTAGTTTATGTGGCGATATACTTTCTGTGGTTTCTTCGTGGTGGCAGTGAGTTGCTTTCCAGTTCAAAGCAAAGTGGGAAAAAAAGCTGTCTCTCCCTCAAAAGAGCCCGACCGAAAATGCTCCATTAAAGAAAGTGCTGTTACTTATCTACATCACCACGTAATGCAAAATGCATGCCTTGTGGTATGTTGGGCACACTTCAAATAAAAAAAGTGAGGCTGCGTCACACTCCAGCATTTTTGAATAATCTGATGACTAATCGGAACAGACAGAACCTTTTTCGTTGGTTTTATGTTGCAATGGGAATGGAAGGGTAGCATTTTGTCATGAGGTGACTTGAGCGGTTGGAAAAAAATGGATCACACCATTTCAATCCATTCCAGCTGACTCCAATGACAATGAAAACATAGCTACAACGATGGAAATGTGATCTATACCAAGTTTTATATTAATTATAATAATAATTTACAAATCCTTGTAGTATTAAATAAATATATTTTTTGTGGTAAATGTGTTTATAGACAAATAAACCTCAATGTGTTGAGTTCCATGGTTATTTATGGAAAGACAGCATGTTTCATTTTTAAATGTGTTGCATTAGAGGTTGAAAGGTTCATCATTTTTATATTGGAATATAAATCTTCGGAGATAAATGCCAGGAGCTAGGTATACATCTCTGGAAGTGTCAAAGTGCTTAAAAGCTTCAGAATATATGCCGCACCACCAAAGGAGCTGCACTGGATTGTAATTCTTATTCTGAGGCTTGGAAAAACTTCCGCCTTCAAGGTTGCCAACGGCTCTAAGGCGATCCCAGCGATGAGCCAGGAACGCTCTGCTAAATGAGCTCTGGAGAAAAACGGTCACGGCAAGATCCATATTCAAATAAACTTCACTCTTGGCCCGTGCACACAAGCCATGTTGTCACCAGCTGGCAGTGGCTCTCACCGCCCCTTCAAATGCTGAGCCACTTTTGATTAACGTCTCTATGGCTAATCATGTGCGTTGGCTGTGCCAAATTGGACAAGCTGCGTATGCCTCGCATTTGCCTTGAATTTGCCTCGAATTTATTTCTTTTTAAGAAAAAAAAATTATTTAAAGATTTGGAGAGAGCCTCCTTTTATCCCGCCCACCCCTTTGCTAAGTCTTCTCTTGTCTGGTGTCCATACATAGAACAGAGAGGGTGGTGTGACGGCACAGTGCCATCGTGTGGGTCCCTGAATGAGAGGAATATCACTGCCAGATGCACCCAGCTGCATAAATGTTATTCATTTTTTTATGGCTTGTGTACATAATATGGCCAGTGTGGGAGATTGTGAGGTTTCAACTGAAGGCTGGAAAAATTCTCAAAATTGAATCAATGTGGAAAACTTATTTTGGCTGGTGGCTGTGCTGGACCAACTTCTTTTCCATCTCCTACAAATCTCCCGAAGTCCCTCCTGTCTCACATGCCGGCTAAAGTTCCTCTGTGAGTGTTTCACAGTGTATTATTTCCCTCGCTGCTGTAGCGTTTCTCATTGATGGCGATGTGAGGCATCTGGGATATTTGTCATAGGTTCAGAGGTGCAAAGACATTAGACAGCACTTTGTCACCAGGGTCTGGAATTCACACCATTTAGCTGTTTCCAAGTCAGCTCCTTAACCAGTGGCTGGCCTGGTTTCTGTCAGCTGCCGCTGCACTGACACAGAGGGCTAAAAAAAGATGGCATGATGCAGGATGTATGATGCTGGCCTTTTTAGGTGGTTAAAACAACATGCACTTTACAAAAAAGTGCCGTAACGGGGATTCGCTGCCAAACCTCTTGACTCGGTGCTCGCTCACAATATTCCCTCTGTTCAGATATAGCTTAGTGGTTCAGAATGGCTCTCGCCTGGGTTTACCAGCCCCCGCAGAGAGATGGGCTTGAACTCTGTGCGAAGCCACGGCCTCCCAAATCACAAGGCCCAGCAAAGGCTCAAGCAGTCCAAATGTAATCATGGCAGGGGCCCCATGTCTCATTACCATTTTCCATTTCAAAACACCCTTCAAATGAGAACTAATGCATTAGCCCTCACTGGGGGAAAAAGTCGAGGGAGCCACTACATAGTGGCTCAGAAACGCTTTTCTACACGTTTTATCAGTGGGGAAGAGGAAGCGAAAGAGAAAAGGAGCTTGGACTGAACCATTCATTTGTTGTCCGTCTTATTAGCTTGGCACAGTGTTATTAGCTGCCATTGTGCTCTAGAAAAGCCCCTTAGGCCTGTTCCACTGCTTGCTTTATCTGGGGTGAGCTCTGTGCCAAACGCTTTCTGGCTGCATTCGAGACCATGAAAATTCAATCCCAAACCCTCAGCACTGAGGTTTCTCACAGATAAATGAAGAGGATTAGGGGAACAATAAGACAATGTCTTACCTCAGATACCACCATATCCTGTTAATTGGGATTGTAGAGGAGAAATGTGTATGGAAAAAAAAAAGATCTTTTTTTGTGACATAGAAGCATGCGGTGCTGTCATAGTAACACATTCACATCAAATAGTAAATTATATTAAGTAAATATAGAAAAGAAGCTGACACTCTTATAATCCAGCTCGGTTGGATATGCCAGGCAATGTGTCAATTGATTCCCATCTGATGATGGACTGTGTGCTGAAATAAATTGACCTTGCTAGACGATGAGTGAAATTGATGGAGCTTTTCATCTCCGGAGGGCTGTTCCTTACTCCCGAGCAAAATGGATACAGCAGTGGACAGAGTGATTGAGTCTGGGGCAAATTTAAGGTGTGTGTTTTTCCTATCCCAAAGCTTGCCTGGTAAATAACAGTTACAGGAAAAAATCTCTGTGTACTCTCTATGAGAATTACATGGGTTAAGTGCCTGTTGTTGACTAGATTATTAGGACTACAAGCACACAGCGCATAAAGTGAGGCTGGCCACTGACAGATGCTACCCGCAGGAGGAATATGTGGTTCAATTACCAGGAGTCTAAATTGAAAGTGATAGTGATTTAAGTCTTCCCAATACGCCAGCCACATTCTGGCAAACAGTCTTTTCAAGTAGCCATTTTAAAAACCCTGCTGGAGTGTGTGAGACACAGAAGCGCCATTGATTTTCAATAACATCCCCTAATGACCTGGCCATGGTTTGATCCACGCTGTCATTACGGGCTGCTACCATGGGACAGGATTGGTGAGCTTCACAGCACACAGCAGCCAGATGAGTAGTTGGAGCATTATCAGGATGAATTGGCTGTCTCTGGACAGGCGGCAAGCACAGTCGAGGTCTTGTCAATAACAGGATGGGGCACCTCAGGACTCCCTCTGCGGCCCACTCCACAGTGCCTTCCGGCCTCATTAGAAAAGCTGATGAGTGGTGTGCATGAGGAGAGGAGACATACGAGAATAGAGAGGAGCCTCCCTTCCACCATCCAATAGCTTGCCTCCCAGGCATTGCTGCTCTTAATGAGTCCAGACCACGGGTCAATATGCCGCTGGGCTGCCAGTCAATACCGGTTACCTGCAACACAAACACTCAAAACCTGCTTTCATACAAAATCAATGTTCTATTAGTCCCTCCCTGTATTGCCTCGGCTCAATCATATCGAACCTTTCTGAAGAGCTCTGCAGCCGATGTTTGACAGATTATGGTCCAATGATCTGATGGATTAGGGCTACTCTGCCAGCCAAGTCAGTTGCCGTTATGATTTCAACATAACAGCTTGATATGAGATGAGCAAATACTCTAAATGCTCAAAGCTGAGGCAGAAGCATTATTGGCAAATCTATCAACCATATGTACCCACACCACTCAGCTGGTTCGGCTCACAGACAGATTTACTATTTACTGTAAAGTAAACATAGCAGGCTGAAAGATAGACAAGAAATAGTTGACATTAGGTCCAAACTTTATTCCGTACATTTTAAACCATGAATGTTCATTTTCCTTTTTTTTCACGCCTAAAACTCTACTTGTTTTGTATACAAGAGTCTAAGAAAAACAACTGCACAACACCACAAGGTTGACAGAGAAAGTCTTTTTGCTGCCCACTAAAAGTGTCCTTCTTTTCTGCCCTGGGCTGGTCCAGTTTGTGACTTGGAAGTCTCTTTAAAACTGTTTAATTAATTTATTGGTACACGGAAACATGTGTTAGTCCAAGTTTCTCTCAGTTTCACCAGTATCGTTACTTCCTCCAGGAGACTTCTTCATTAGGGTGTTGTGTGCTGCTTTGCATAGATTGCAGATGATCCATCTCGGTCTCCTTACAACACCCTCCCTTCATACTTCCTGTCCGTTGGCCAGACTTGTCCGTTATAACGGTATCCAACAGACAAGTGTTTCCACATGTTTCATTTAAATTTTGTTTTTCTACAAATGGTTAAAAAGACTAATAAATTTACAATGTAATCTTGCAGAGAAGAATATCAACAGGTTATTTACATCAGTTTTCTTTACAGAGACTGAACAAAGACCTCATAATATATATTTATCTGCATATCTCAAAGGCAAACAAATGAACAAAACAAATCTGTAATGTAGCAATGTACATTGTCATCATTGAGGATATCCTGGTACCATGAGGTTAAATTACAGACGGTTTAATCCAAAATCAAGTCTTTACATTATCATAGGGGATATGTCTCACAATCAGCTGGGATAAATATTGTAAAAGGCAGGACTAAAGCACAAAATACATAAACTTCATAGAAATGATATCTATACATGGAACAAGGATAGGAAATGTACAAACTCATTTCAGGGCCTTTCTTTTCAGCACAAAGCAGAAAAAATGTATCAGTTTAATATATTAATAATTATCAAATATTTAAGTCGGAAATAAACATACACATATTTGTGTTTTCTTTGCCGACATCATTACACCTCCAGTCCACTAAAAATAAAATCATGGTATGTGCTTCTTCAGCCTGACACAACCTCACTTTGTACAAATCACATCCTTTCCCTTGGGGAGTTTCTTTCTTCTCAGGAGAGGAGCAGTGCATTTTGTTCAACATGAGATCCCAGATAAAAGGTTAGGGCTGGTGAGTGTGCCCACTAAGACTTTCTGCCCTATGTCAACAGGCTACCGAGCCTCTACTTCTTTGGGGTTGCGAGACGGAGAGTAGTCCCGTGGGTCCTGGGTGGTGAGGGGGGTAGTCCTCCTGGGCGAGGCAGGTCTGGCACTGCCGGCTGGCACGAGAGGTGGAGGTGCACTTAGTGCAGCAGTAGGGGGGGTTCTGTTGAGCGGGCCGTTGTGTCCTGTGGAGGGGCTCAGTCTTGGGTAGGGCATGCCGCCTAGGTGAGGCATAAAGGGGGGCATGTGGGGTAGATGTCCCTCCATTGGGGACTGGTGGAGCTGATGGAGACGTGCTCTGTCCAGCTCCTCCCTCAGGTGGAGGCGCTCTCGCTCCTCAGCCTGCTGTCGCATCCTCTCCTGCTCCCTGCGCACCTCGAGAAGGTGCTCGTGGTGCGAGTAGTCGTGTGCCTCCCTTTCCCGGTAGGCCCGCTCCTGCTCGTACATGTTCGGGAAGCGATGTCCTTGCTCGGCCCTGAGCTGGAAGTCCATGCGCCGCTGCAGGTCCAGGTTGCGGTAGGCCTCTCGGAGGGGGTCCCATGGGAAGGCTGTGTGTGGCAAGCGCTCTCTTCCTGCCAGTGGGCTCACACCCATGAAGGGGGCCATGCGAGCCCTGTCCAGCACATTGAGGCTGCCCATTTGGGGCATGGCGCTCATAGAAAGTGGCAGAGAATGGGCCATGGGGACACCATGCAGGCCAGGTCCTGGGATGTCACTCCCCCGGGGGGAGGGAAGGGGATGCTGCTGGGACAGCGGTGGGTGATGGTGGTGAGGATTCATTGGCTGGCTGGCGGGTGTGGAAATCACTTGGGTTGGTGGCTGGGGGGGTGGCTCTGAACTCACCACCATGACCTCCTGCTCCTCCTTCCTCTCCTCCTTAATCTTCATGTCATTTTTCACTTTGTGGAGGAGCTCTGCGGGTGGAGGCTCTTTCCTGTCGCTGTCCTTCAGAGCGGATAGAGGCCCACCTGCCATCTTCAGGCCCTGCTCACTGATCACCGACTTGGAGTAGGGAGAAGGAGACCGCTGCGCGGGTTTGATGGAGTCCTCTGATGGTCTCCTCTCCAGCATCTCCTTGCCTGGTGAGCGGCTCTCCTTCACCTTCACATCGATGAGCGTGGAAGACTCTCTGTGGCGCTCCAGTAGCTCCTTCTCAGCCTCACGGACTCGGTCTACGCTGCCGCTGTGATGCCGGCCCGAATCATTTGAATTCTGGCTGTTTGAGCGAATCAGGCTGCTGATCTGGTAGCTGACAGGCGCTGAGGCAGGAGATGAACGATTGGAGTGCCGGTTGCGATCTACAGAATCCCTGTGAAGACATAATGTTATATACCATTACATTAATTTGATATGGCTTATATGTGTATATCAATCTTTCAATACCTCTTTCTTCTTGATTATTCATATTGTTATTCCTCACAAGTGGTCGGAGGATCAAAATCAAAATCAACATTTTAGGCCAAGATCTGGGTTGAATTTTATTGACTTCAATGGCTAGAATGCATACTTTTTCATATGTAAAGCATCTTTCCATTTTTCTATTCCAACATCCTTCAAAAAAACAACTTGACAAAAGCAAATTTTCAATGTCTCAACGTACCTGTCTTTCTCTTTCTCCTCTTTTCCAATGGATGAATCTCTTTTCTCCCTTTCCCTTTCCCTCTCCCGCTCTCTGTCTCTTTCCCTCTCCCGCTCTCTTTCGTGGCTGTTGGCCGAGCTGCTTCTCTCAGCGTCTGCGGTTTTGGGCCACTGTGGTGGGGTGGGGAAGGATGGTGGTGTGCGTCTAAGTCTGTTCCAGGTGTCGTGGTGGGGGCTGCCAAACGTGGGCAGTCCTCCTGGCCCCTCCTTGGAGCCAAACACACTGTTGGACCCTGAAGGGAAAGAGTAGACAGGCGAGGGACCCAGTGTAAGTTAATTGGGCACCAAACCTTCTTTAGAACACATAACATGAGAAAGACTCCAACAAAAGCTGCTTTTGTTTTTGTCTCTGGAGGTTCCTAAGTGAAAGAGTTAGAGGTTAATGGCTCCCCCCACCACAGGAAAACACTACTCATTTGCTTTTAGACTAAAGCTCCTCCTCTCTCCTTTTCTCCTCTGGATGAACGGGGGAGACTCATTTGCCCTCTAGAGTTGAGAGCTGTGAAAAGCCAAGGGAGACCTGAGCATTCCACAGCATGTCTATTCCAGTCACATCCATTTTCACAACAGGGTGACTGATTTGGCACACAAAAACAGGAGGGATGCAGAAAAAGGGAGGAAGGCATAGAGAGAGGGATGCTGAGGGAAAAGATAAAACCCTTCATGGTGATGCAGAAGGAGCTTGTCAAATAATTAATAGATGAATAGCCACAAACAGCAGACCTAGGAGCGCCTGTTGGCAGGAACACAGCCAGATTAAAGCCAGTCTGTTGGAGGCATCACTGGTGGATCAAGTGGAAACTGAGGGAGGGTTTGCTGTGGTGCGTGTTGTGCTCTCTCTGTTGGGCCTCTCTGGACTAGGGCTGTTTTGACACAGAAGCTAGTGCTAAGAGTTTTTTTTTGTCCCCTCCTGGCTATCCCCTGTGGTCCTTCTCTGTTCTGTTATTGGCCGTAGGAGCCAGATTGGAGGGAGATGGGGGCAGTGGAGGAGGAGCGAGGGCCAGCGCTTACCAAGCGAAGGGTTGCCTAATCCTCCGAAGGCACTGCTTGAAAGGTTGCCGAGGCCGCCAAAGGAACTGGAGCGACTGAATGGATCTGCAAAATGCCAGACAGGGATTAGCTAAAAGGGGGGCTGGTTAACGGTGCTCACCCCAAACACCAACCCATTCCACTCAGCTTTTTTCTTACAAGCGAGCTGTGTTTTTGTTTGGGCTGCCCCGCTAGCTCTTTACTTGGTAATCCTGCAGTGCCCAGTTTGCCTGGAACTAATTTCACTGCCACTAACTGGAGTTGAGTGCCTTCGACCCTGCTGGGGCAATTGTAAAAATACTGCCTGATGGGAAATTAGTTTACTTTCTTTGGAGTGGAGCTGAAAAAGGACCAGTGCAGGACAGGGGAATTAGGGGATGTTCAAATCAGGCCGATAGAACAGTCTCTTCATTTACAGGAATAACACAAATTGAGATGAAAAACGTTCATGAACTGACTTGTTTTTCTATTCATGGTGAAAATTCCATCAAGAATTGCTAAATGTATGAAGTGATTAAGGTTGGAGTATTTAGCTCTGGGCGCTGTTATTATTATTGCTGTTGTTACGTTTAGAAATGACAAGAAGTAAAGAATCTCCTCTGCATCACACATAAATTCCCTGGATAGGGAAATAGTCTCAGTTATCCTCCTCCATTTACAATGCATTCACAAGAGCGGAATTAAAGGAGTCTTTGATTTGTTCCAATAAGTCACCTAACCACTCTGGACCCAAAAAAGTACCTCAGATACAACATTAGAACAGAAATAAAAACAAAACAAAACACAGGCAATTAAAATCAAGACTTTATTTTTTCCTGAAGAAACAAAGCAAAAATCTCCTTGTGGGCTCACGAAAACAGCGTCATACATAAAACTGCACTGCATACAGTTAGTCCAGACAAACCAGGGATGACATATAGGTCTGGAAGCTACATCTTTTTTAATAAGCCCAGACAAGAGTTATTTTAGGTTGTACTATGACTTATTCTGACTGACTGTAGAATGGCTACACTCCATTACCGTAAACCACAAGTTTGCTCAAGGAGTGCTGCAGCTGGCTGTGGCCAACTGGATTCTACATTAACCTTGAAATGAACCTGAGATCAAGACTATACATTTCTATGAGTCAAATTACACCATGATGGCTTGTACTGAAATTCAAACATGAATGCAAAACAGGGAGACAGTGAGGATAGCACAGCGAGAGAGAGAGAAGATAAAGATGTAAAAAAATGGTAAACGTGGGGTTACTTACACTTACCTGCCAAATGGCTTGGAGGCAGGAAGCTGCTGGGATGAGGGGCGTGGCCATATGGAGAGGGCGCTGGATGGGCGGAGCCTTAAAAAAAAGAAAGAAAAAAGGATTGTTTATGCCACAAAAAAATCCCGATGCAACACGTTATAGAAGCATATTGATAATACTGCCCCCTTCATTGAAAACAAACAAATAATGAGAAATTATACGAAATGTCAATCAAACTAGATGAGATGAGAAACTGCTGAGTAACGGCGAAAATATGCCATTCATTCAATCCGTTTATTGCAGTTCTTGCATATTTCTGCTTGAATCTATTCGGACCTTAGCGAGGTGAGTTTTGAATGTGTAAGTAACTCTTTTACAAAAGTGTTACCATCACCCACATCCCATGAATAGTTAATGAAAGAGCCAATTACAGGAGTCTCCCTGACAAAGCAATGCATAATTACTAGTCAAAGGCCGCCTTCCTTGCTGTTGCCCTCCAAAGCGGGGCAAATCAGTCAATTACCTAACCGAGAGTCATGCATATTCATCGACAAATCCAACTTTCTTTACTGGCAAAACATTTTCTGCTAAAGCACTATAATTAAGTGAATGTTCCATGCGAGAGAAAAAAATGGCTGATGCCATTTCATTAGTGTCTTTTTGTTGTGTTTCAATGTCCTGATTTGCTTAAAGGCAAGCTTTGGCATCTGACGGCTTTAAAAATGGAACCATTTGAGTGTCTTAAATCAGAGATGTCTGTCTGAAAGTTGCAGATTGGTAAGTATTAACGGACTTAACTCACCCGTGGAGGGAAAGAGGGGCCGTGCCAAGTCATGAGGGTATGGGAACCCCGGGAACACTCCTGGGGCAGGGGGCCGACTGAAGAGGTCCAGCTTTCCATTCATATCTAGTTTGTGGGGGTCAAGCTGCATTTGCTGGAATTGAGACAAGGACCGACAGACAGAGGCAATAAGGTCAACACATGACTGCACATAACATTTCCAGTAAAAAGAGATGAGTGGGATTTGTCTGTGACTACGCTGACAGAAAGATCAGAGAAGAAAAGAGACAAAGGCTTCATTTCTCCAATTCTGGCCAGTTGTGACATAACAAATACGTGTAAGCTGATTAGGAGGACTAAGTCCCTACTGTTGGGGGTTCAGGGCCCGAGAAGCACTGACACCACCAGGCCAGTAGCATTGCCCTGGTAACTGACAGGAGGTATGAACTTATTTTTACATTTGCATTGCACTATAGAACTATTAATTCTGCCGCTGGATCCTTAATATTCGCTTTGTAATTTCATTCTTATACGAGCAACAGAGTTATTGAAAATAACTGTAATGGATATTGGGATTGTGTAGTTTGCAGAAACACACAATAAAGAAGAAGACAGGGGTTGTTTCATTCTTCTTGTTTTTAGAATCACAATTTTCCCAGCAACATGGCCTTTTTTAAACTATTAGCATGATTGGAGATAATTCAACCATCTAAAATACATCTGTGACATCAGCCACGCAGAGTATTTAGCATTATTTAGGCCGTAATAACCACCTGAATATGTCTGTTTTACATGTCGGCAAGATTCCTGAAAGATATAATTATCCAACTCACGCACCTTCATTTTCTGCTGGTGGTGGTAGATCTGCCATGCGATCTGGACATGTACTGCGCACCACTTGCCAGGTTTCTAAAAATTTAGAGAGAAACTGGGGTTAGCCTGCTGACTTTGATATGGGGAGCTATAAATGGGTTCTGGCATCGAGATTTTCTGGCCAGACTACAAAGTGGGAACTTGTAAGAATTTTCAACCAGTAAATGGATTAAAAAAAGATCTATTCCTGACTTTAACCCTTTAGATGCAGCCAAACCCTGCATCTGCTTGATTGTGAATTGTTTAGGAATCTGAGGTTCCAGACTTTGTGGCCTGGCCAAAGTGTTTTATTAGAAGAGAAGAAAAAAAAGAAGAGTTTACTTACCCGAACAGATGTCCTGAATGGATCACTTATCTGTATGGACAAACAGATAAATATTATCAATGAACACAAATAGCTCAAATAGGTATAAATGGAGACTCTTTAGATATGAGTGTTCAGAGAAAGACATATGAGCAGAAATGCCTTTTCCTAAGAAAAGGTTTTTCTGCAAATGTTTTCATTGTCTCTCTGACACGCATATGGAGGCCAGGTGTGTGGATTTCAGGCAAAGAAAGAGAGCAGGGACAGACTGGCCGAGATGGGATCTGCCTGATGCTTACCCGTGGATCCTTCTGTAGCAGTGTGTGAGGAACTGCTCCAGGACGCGCTGCTACATCAATGGGATTAGAGGCCTGATGGACACAGAGACAGAGAGGGGAAGAAAATATACATGGTCAACAAACAAATTCAAGTTAAACACATGCAAAAATATTTTTTCAAGGAATCATTCTAGGATTCGGTGACTTATGTGAAGGAAATATTTTTCCAAACATCCATTCCTCAGTGATGCTACTGACCATTAATTCTTAACTACTGTCGCTATAAAGCCAATGCAGATCAAACTGGAAACCCCCCATGTTTGTCTCCAAGAATACTTAGCAAGGGCTTTGGATGCATAAGAGTTTCCTTGAACCATCTGGAGGGACTCTTGACAAAAGAGCCCCTCCGTGACTGAGCCCACTGGGAATAAGGCCAGCGGATTTAGGCCAGCTTTGATTGGTGGCTTACTCTGGGTCACAGCCTCTGAGCATCTGCCAGACATACTCTCACCCTCCTACCTCCTCACATCCACTGCACCTCCTCTGCTCTGCTCTCCATAACAGACATGGCATAATGTTTTCTATAACATGACCTGTGACAGCTTGACTAAGAAAAAAGAAGATAAATGGATATTCTTCTTGTGTAATAAGTGTGGTATGCTTTTCCAGTGATGCTCTGGGAAGGTTGGACTGAAAACGTGCTGTTTCCCCTCTCTCTAACCTGTGCTATAAAGCTGTTGTTTACTCAGGATGACATCCTTTCATATCTCATTGGGAATTTTTCAAGCTGAAAAAGCTTGTCATAGTCAGAGGCCCTTTGTGAACATGCTTCCTTCTACTCTCTGCCTGTTTTTAAGCTTCTTTGCTGAGGGCCAGGGTGTGGGTCTGACCTTGGGCTGGAAGGCTCCTTGCAGTGAGCTGAAGGGTCCTGAGTGGGGGAGCAGCGGGGGCATGCCTGGCATGGTTGAGGGATAGGAGGGGTAGAACTGGGGAGAAAAGAGGATGATGGGAAACACAAAAAGACACATGACAAAAATCATACAGAGATACGTACAGGACTCAAGCATGTGCACACGCAAAGCCACGGCAACATTCAAATATGTCAGATATTTGATTTGCCAAATGCAAACAGACCATTTACATCAGGATAACAAAAGAAACTTACATTTGAATGTCTGATGAATGGATTGTCCAGTTTGGGGGTGTATTTGTCGAACTGGAGGAGAAAAGAAAGAAAAGAATTAGGCAACAAAGGCCTTTCATACAAAAGCCTTGCATAATAAGAATATGTCCATATTTTTACTTCACAAAAGCAAAACACATGATCAACATCTGTAACTGGTCATGAGCAGGTTGAGAGTCATAATAATAACCCCCAGGGTAAAGCAGCTAGCTTGCACCAGTCATGGGTTTCATTAAACAGCATGGTCAGATAGGCAGTTAAAGCACTAACAATACAGCTAATTCCGCGGGCGGCCAAGATGAAAACAACTTTCATGACTTTCCAATTGAGCTCACAGACATTGGGGGTGGAGGCCATGCTCACAAAATACATCATTTTATAACTTGGACACTTTACATTAATAAAAGAAAAAAGTCAAAATATGATTTCAATTTACTTTTGAGTTCTTGGACCTTTCTTATTTTTCCTTTTTAAAAAACAACAACTAATGCCTTAAAAGTATGTGTAATGTAAATAAAACAGGGAGGCATTTAGCTTGGTTTCATAGTTAAAAAAGCAGACCTGTAATGAGAGTCAAAGAGCAGGTCTGTGCATTAACTCAGAATATTTGAGCAGTGTGAGCATTTGGCCTAATCTGACTGAAATTATATTGAGACATTTGAAATGGTTGGGCACCAATTTAGTACCGTTCAGCATGAAATTGAAACCACCATCATAGCTTGAATTGTATGAAGAAATCTGTGCGTGCGCTTTTGAATAATTTCGACTGGAATTTGCCATATAAAAACCGTGTGGTTATATCCAAAAATATTTCTGATCAGGCCCTGAACACATGGGAATGTAGTCAGAAAGCTGAGAGGGAGAGGAGAGAGAGTCAGAACAGAGGAGGTTGCTCAGCCTATGAATGGGGACTTTGTATGTGGGTTCACAAGCCAATACTGGCTCTCTATTTTGAAAACTGCTAATTACAAGCGACAGTAACTTATTCCTATTCCACAAATACACAAACCATTTGCAGGTACTTTTTCTGAATGTTTTCACTAGGCCCCGTTGGCAGCCGCAGATGTTTTGGGTTAACATAAAATGGGAAAATGAATGGGTATGAATCACAATCTCTGTGCGCGAAAGTGCTGCGACACGGGTGGTTGAGGAGGGAGCGCGTGCAGGGCTGGCTGAGCCACTGGTGGAGCTGCCCGCTCTGGGTCAGGGGCCCTCTGGCCTAAAGGGGCCTTTTACATCGCCACACAAAATGGCAGCAGTGGTGCTGGCCGCCATGTCTGAGGGCGATAATGGGCCCATTTCAAAGACAGACAACCTATTGAGAGGAAACGCCAAGCCAGCTTCCAAGATCATTAAACAGCCTCTCTGCATTTCTGAAGGCACGGCCCGTTTCATGTCTGACACTGGAATTAGGACTCTGGCCGCTTTTATGGCTGCGTAAAAGGGAAAAAAGGAGGAAATACAAAGTCTAGCCTTAATAATTTATCGTGGCTGTCACAGTTTTATAGCAAACAGCTTTGGCTAATTAAAACTTAATATTTCATCTTATAACAATTAAGGACATTCCTCGTCCAAAGATATGTCGGGGACAAGGAGGCGGTCATTCACTGCTTCCATTTGGCAAGCCAGCTGCTTGAGGGCGTACAGCAATAAACAAATATACAGGCTTCATAATTTCATTAATTACAGCCATTAGCCAAGGGCTGTTACATAGCTTAAATGACATGGGGCGTCGAGAGAGCAGGAGAAAAAAAAAAAAGGTAGGAGAACAAGAGAGAGAGGAAGCACACGCCTGGGAAATACTAAGTCTGGCTTTTCATGACAAAAGCTGTTAAAACAACTCCAGCATCATCATTATTCTTATTCTACGAAAAAAAGACATTGTTACTGAGGGCCGGGTGGGAGAGGAAGAAGTACAAGTTAGGTAACAAGTACAATAGACAACATCTGCAGACATTAGGGTCAGTTTAAAATCTCACTGAAACAACACAAGCAAGGATGGAGGGTGGGATACATTATGGGCTGAAATCCTAAAATAATGCCGGAATTAGGGAAATGGTGGAAATCGCCCCTTTCATCTTCAAAGAGAGGGCTGCGTACTGCACATAATTCCCTCCATGTCAGGGATGAATATCAGACCAGAAAACTGCCCGTGTGTTGGCTAAAGAACTATCTTAACATTCTCTGTACTTATCTGAGTCTGTGCCATAAATACCAGAGCTTTGATTTGTAATGTACAGAATGGGGATAATCTAAGAGAGGGGCCCTAATGGGACCACAGGCTCTAAATCAGAGGTCATGACATGATGGATTAGATCTATTAGACTAATGCAACAAAGTTACAAATGGGGATCCATCTGAAATGACTGCCAGAGATTGCTGTGCATTTGATATGATGGATGAATAATAACCTTTTTTCTTCCATACTAATCTGAGAGCACTGTAGGAACCACCTCTCTCACCCCCGCTCTAAGACTTGATGGCAGTCAAAGCACGGAAGCAATTAGAAACATTATCAAACAGTTTAAAATGATGTCATTCTCCCTTTATCTGCAGTGAAGTCATTTGACCGGCTGCAGAGCTTTGAATTTGTCATTGTGAAGGATGGCTGCTCTTGGATAGCACACACACATACATGCACAAACTGAAAAAACCTGCACAGAAAAATACAATCTGCACTCACACACACATTGTTTGATGGTGCCTTTGTTGCTCTTTGTGTGCAGGCAAATGATCACATTTAAAACACATCCATATGCAAACAATTGAAAAACCGCCTTCAGGCTATTCCGCTTTTTGATCATCAGCGAACACTTAAAAGTAAAATCTATGAGAAATATAAAAATGGGGTTAAGAATTGTAATTAAATCTGGTTAGCAGTCTCTTGGCATGCATGCTATGAGTTAGACACAGTTTCTACAGAGTACGATACATTCTGTGTGCATATGCTTTTAAACACAATGCCACAACAGAGGAATATCTTAGTTAATGCAGGTATATATAGTATGTATTTGGCAACCTAAGGAGCAAAAAGCATGTATATGGAAAACTAATAGACGCACTAAAGTGTGGTATGTATAAGGGGAGGTGACAGGAAGTGGGTGGACCTTTCTTGCTGAGGTAAAACGAAGGTAAGGCAAAGAGAAAAACTCAAACTGAAGCAAGAATTGTCTTTAAAATCAGGGGATTGTATAGCTAAGGGACATAATTGGTCAATTTGGTTTTGAAGAAAAAAGGGAGGAGCTGATTGAAAAGGAGTCTGGAGGGGTGACAGGTGAGGTTGGTGGGAAATTACGGGAGCTTTTCTTTTTTACTTATCCTCACATTTCTGGCTTGGGTACGCACCATGGGGGGTGCGGTGGGCGGGGTGAGGATGGCGGCCGGGGGCAGACTGGCGGGGAAGGGCGTGAAGGTGTGCTGGTGGGTGTGTTGGTGCTGGTGCATGTGCTGGTGTTGGTGAAACTCGGCCCTCAGGAGCGACACGGGGGCCAGTGGCGAGGCGGACGGCCCCCGGCCCCGCTCTGAACTTTGAACCAGGAATCGGTTGTTCAGCTCCTGCCTCAGGATATCATGCTCTGCAAGAAAGGAGAGCGAGGAAAACCAAAAAAAAAGAAAAGAAAATAAAAAAATGAAAACAAAGAAAAGAAAAAAAGAAAAAAAAGAAAAAAAAGCAAAAAAAGGAAAGAAAGAAAAAGGGGTGGGGGAGGGAGCGGGGGACACAAGAAAAAAAAAAAGGCACGGGCGCCCAGTCAGTCTTTACAACGAATATAGAAGAAAGAAAATAGTCACCTGGCATTCTCTGTTTCTCCAGCTCATGCTGTGAGGATTTTCTACGTGGGGACTCATTGGTGGTGGTAAGAGAGTTGCCTGTGACAATGTGCCAATAAGAATCCCCGAATGAGGCTGGCAATACATGATTGGTTGGTTGAATGATATCAACAGGCTGGTATCTAAAGACAAGAGAGAACCAAGAGTCATCCCAGCAGAAAACACACACACTCTTGCCCTCTATTAGAAAGTCAGTGCACAAATGGCATATCTAGCACATATCCTGGAGACATTGATCTTTACTGGAAACATTTATTTTTATCAACCTGTTTTGCTCAGAAACATTCAGCAAAACAGATGTGAACTGATGGACTTTTTGAATAGATGTTTGAAGAAATATCTTTAAAGGGGGAAAATATGTAAACTGCTTAAATGTGGCTCTCCGCATTGTGAAAATGTTTCCAGCCGGAATCGTTTTCAAGTCGTATGCTGACATCTTCCAGTGAGTCATTCAAGCCCTCTTAAAACGACTTTGGGATTCTCTTAGAAACTCAGTATCAATTTGCGGTTCTATTCACAGCAACCATGAATATAATTGATATAGTTTAACAACTTATTTCCAGTAAAGATTACATATGATTCTGCAATAGCTGCTTGTCATTTTCTATTCAAGACCTTTGAAAATGTCTATGGACGTTTCTGTGCAGCTGCTGGACAAAAGTCACTTCTTTCCCAGTATCTTCACCCATAACAAAATGACCGAACTGAACGCACCAACCTTAAGGAAGTGACTTTCATTTGCTGTCATTATTGAAGGATTAGCTTTAAAGTCTGATGCAACACGTAAAAGCTATGGTTAAAACAAATGAAAAATCTGAAATGTTAGGAAAATAATAAAGGAGACCTTTTTAAACCCTAAGTGCATCAATAGAGATAAAAAAAGCTAAGGTTGGATATCTAAATCTTTAGTTAAAATGTAATAAATGAGTACTTACCAGAGAATCAAATCAAATGTGAGCATCTGACTATTTTCTGATCATTTGAACACACACACACACACCACACACACACAAATATATATCTATATATATATATAGATATATATATGTATGCATACATATATACACGCACTAACTGTAACCTGAAAGCCAGTAATAATGTTTTCACACTATTTATGTATGTCTTATTATAATCATGTCTGTAACATAAACACAAAATTTCAGAATCACAGTTTTGATGTGACTGAGGAGGAACTCCTTATTATTAAGGGAAATTAAAAGTACACAAACATACATAATATTGTGACAAATATGTTACTTTTACTGTGTATGTTTGATAAACAAATGTAAAAATGATGATAGATGAAACTGCTTACTACAGCACTTTCTTTAAAAAAGGAGCAGAACTCAAAGCGGTTCCCTTTAAAAATACTGCGTGTCAGATGTTTGAGACTGCTATGAGGCTACTCATCCATCATGTGAGGGTCTCAGCTTTACCTGGGTAGGGGGTGCCGGCGGGGTGTCCAGGCACCACTAAGCTGTTGGTTGGTAAGGTCGGTGGTGGAGGCAGTGTGGCTGGGGTTGCAAACATGGCCGAATGGCGATGGGCCGGGCTCCGTAGGGAGGAATAGTGTGAGGTAGAGAGATTGGCTATGGACAGAGGTAAGGTAGGAGCCGACGATGGGAGGCCACTGAGGTGGTGATGAGGGGATGGGGGGAGGTGTTGTTTGTGAAGCCCCACTGGGCTGCCGCGGTGGCTGTGAATTCAACAGAAAAAAGAAAATACGGTCAACATTTGCCATCATAATAAGTTGCAATACAAAATACACATTGCAAATCAGGGAAACTTTGTTGGTTGCAAGTTTGAAAATATACATCAACATAAAATCAGTTGATGCCCTAAAAAATGCAGAATTTCCCATTGAAGGCAGTTTTTGCGGTCATTTTATCATGAGCTCCCTCGGACTTGATGGGGAAGTGGCTTTTTTAGTAACACTAGGTTCAACAAGAGAATCTATGCAGATCTATGCACGTAGATTGTTGAATAATTATCTACCCCTCTTTTTCTGTTAGACAGTGACCAAAAGACCGCATGTGACTTTTCACACCTCCCAATTAGCCGTCTGATGTTAGAATGTCCACTAACGCACTGAGAGTGGGTGTGTCCGTGCTACAGCTTGGACTGGACACTGCGTGCACCGGGTTACCTGATGTCGTGGAGGCTGTTGTACTGCAGCGGATGATGCACCTGGTGGTTGATGAGGGGCCGGGCGTGGTGCGGTGGGGGCGGGAGGAGGCGGGGCTCCTGGTGTGAGTTTGGGTGGGGGGGGTGGGGCTGGGGCGGTGCCTTCAGGAGGGGCGGGGTAGGGAGAGGGGGCGGAGGCTGCTGCTCCTTCTTGACACTGAGAGAGGGAGGGGTGGGGAGGCGGGACCTCGGCGGATCTGGGGGGGCTGCCGCTGCTGCAGGGGCAGGGGAGCCCGTGGGGGCCGAGGCCGGGGTGGGGCTGGGCACGGGAGGTGCAAAGGGCACCTCGGTCCTGCTCAGCTCCTGGCTGCGCTGCAAGCCCGAGACTTTAGCCGAGGAACAAGTCCGGGACTTGGGACTCTCATTCGTTGGCACACCTGAGAAGAAAAGAAAGGCGACACGTGGGACATTGGTTCTGTTGGAATGAACGATGCAACTTCAGGAGGTGGAGATGTTAAGCGACTCCCTAATGAAGTCCCAGAGCACCTGGAACAGCTGCAGGGAGACTGTAACTCCTGCCACTGGGGACGTGGACCTGATCACCGATCATCAATGACTATGTAAAAAAGTCCCATTTCCTCCTTTATAATGTTGTCCCGGTGTCCTCTGTGCAATGTTCCTCTTGTTTCCTTTCCCTGGGTTCCATTAAGTGTTTAATCAGGTCGTTTTCATGCTTGACTATAATCAGATGATCCAATTTCTTCCCGCGATCCAGTCAGTATGAATAAATCACAGCTAATTAAAGTTAAATGTCGGCACCCATTCAGGGCTTTGCTGAGCACACAATCTGGCATGAAATAATTATGTTTCAATTGTGATGTGAGTAGAGATTGTGGCCTCTTATCTTGCCCTCTCAACCACTGTGTCCGTACATCCCCCTTTTCTATTCTTTTTGGGGATACGGGAAGACGCAGCAAAGCACCATGAACTAGCCTACTTTGTCTTTATCATTCATCAGGAGTCTTTTCACAAGAAGCTTTGATAATCATTATTCCAATAAACAACTTTTCATACTTTCACTTGCAATTTAATCCCTGTAATTATGTGATATTTAAGCAGGGAAATAAAGTTGTGGAAAGTACAGCATAGTGAGACCTTTTCACATAAGAAAAATCTCTACAGAATTAGGAATCCTAATAAAATAAGATGATCCATTTGGTAAACGTGTCAGAGTTAGGAGAAAAGGCTAAATTAACCTCAAAGAAGCCGATTTTAAGGAATAACTGATTCAGGGGAAGCACATTTTTGCTACAAATGTAGCGAATTCCTACCAAGCGCCGAAACCCAACTTGCTCTAAAAAATTATTCCAAGTGAGAAGGTATTGGCACATGCACTTAATCAAACCTAGACAGAGAGGGAGAAGACAGCCCTGTGGTGATGACAGTTTCTTTAATCTGGAGCTAAGATGCGGGAGTACTTTAGTCAAAAGGCTTACTAGCGCTTCAATTAAAAAACCTCCACAGGCCTTCTCAATAGTAACAAAACAATGAGAAAAGCTGGGAGCTGCTGTCATGCTGGTGAGAACTCAACATGCAGCCTGCTAATGGAATATCCAGTCCATATTAACGGCCCGCTTAATCTTCCAAGGATCCTAACACCCATAAAAAGGCCAATAAAAAGACAGAAGAGCTTTTATTTGATATTATTTGCTGAGCTCCCCCTCCCTTATCCTTCACATTTATGGGAGAACTGGGGCTAGCTAAGATGTCACGATTTTCAAATGAATATCGGTGTCCAGGCATATATAGACCTCCTGACTTATATAGGCCTGGGACTTGGATTAAATTGTGAGGCTGTTGTTGCTGCAAGAGGAAGGGGAAATTCAAGGCAAAGACAGAGAGACAAGCTGAGACACACAAACAGAGGCGAAGAAGCAAATATCCTCAGTCGAAATGTCGCAGTTGGCCAATGTTGCCGTGGTAACCGGTTCTCTCAGACACAATGCAAGGCGAATGATACGGAGGAAAGTCTCTCAGAGATGGAGGGGGGCTTCTTATATCAATGCTACTATGCCAGTGCCACAGCAAGTGCCAGGTTATCCTAATGATGATTCTAATTGGCTCTAATGGAGGCAGGGAGGTATCTGCTCAGACCCCTCATTAAAATTCACTCAGAGGGCTAAGCCACGCACACACAAACATATGACTACAACAAAAGGTGGACACCCCCCAAAAAAAGTTAGCAGTGTCTCATATCCTATAACGTACGGTATAACTGTATCTTTTAAGCTAGCAACCCAAAAGTCGAACCATGATAAGTGATATTTGCAAGTTATAAAAAAAGAAACTAATTGAATTAGCTTCTATGTTCAAGAGCTGATGGTAAAATTGTGTTCCTGTTAAGCAGAATAACTCCATTACAACACAATTAGTATGTTTTTTTCAGAAGTGACTTTGACAGCAAAGTACCATGCAGAGATGGTATGAGGGGAAAAATGTATCTCTGACGTGTGCCACAAAAGGTCTAAGTGGAGTCGAGTCTTTTTTTGCTTTCCGAAAAGCATATTCCTCCTGCCTAAAATGCAAAGAACTGTCAACTCCATTAGAAAAAAAAAAACAGCAAACGGACAAAGCCCGCATTATTCTTTTCTTGATTTTGTCAGCCCTTGAAGTGCACCTTTTCTGCACTCGCCAGCTGAGGAGAACAGTGGGCGAGCCACGGGCAGCCATGTGAAACAAATGCCATACAAGCCTGTGTACAAAGAAGATTTGCGCTCCTGAAGCCTTGCTCGCAAACCTGAGCAGATGGTGCGAGTGAGTCAGGCAGGTTGGAGGGCAGCCCGGTAGTGGGGGTTGGCTCCCCTCTCCCTTTAGCTGGGTTAGCGCACTTGGGGGGGGGACAGGGACATTCCCAAGGGGGGGTGTTGGCAGGTCTGCGCACCAGATGACATCTCATCCTTGTATTGATCTTTTTATAGTTGTTCCTGTATCCCTGCTTACTCAGGGGAATTGAGCATGGCCCTGAGCACACGTGCCTTAGTTTGCGGTGATATGAGTTGCACGCGGGGAGGGGTGGAGAGGGAGGGGATGCAGGGACTGAGGTAGCAGACGGACAACAGGCCGCCGGGATTTGCTTGTTATGACTGATGTGTCCAGCCGGGAATCTAGGGTGAACGCGGTGTCGCTACACAGCTGTTCCTGCCTTCGATATCCTTCACATGTGACCCTGCTTGTCCCTGTGGAACATCTGGAGGGCTGGCTCTGATCTGCTCCTATGTGGCCTTTATGCCAGATGGCCCAGCTTGGAATGGCTTGGACCAGTCTGGGATGGCTTGCCCCTGAACTGGACAAGGACTGGTCAGTTGAAATGATCCAAGAATTGCGAGGATCCTCCCTGTGACTAAAATAACCCTGCACACGCACTATGTAGAAACTAAGAAGAGGAAAAAAAAAAGCGCATTAGGCTTTAATGCTTTAAATGCTTTAATTACTTATCTAACCTTCTTTTGAAACACATCCCTGGCTATCTACAAACACATTCAACTCAGTGAATAAGACAAGGGCTCGAGAGAATATTTGGCCAACAAAACTAATATTATGCATGCAAATAGGAGTGTTCTATAAATTACCTGCTCACTGCTGACATCAGGACCAGTGGAAAGAATAACAAGGGAAACAGAAACTATATGCAAAAAGCCTTTGCAGACTAGATCTGAGAATATGCAAATGTCCTACTTGACAAGGCGATGTTGTGGGATAAGGGAAGGTAAAGGCCACTGGGTGCTCTCATTTACTAGGTAAATGCTGTGGTTCACTCTTTTCATGCTTTTGCCAAAGCATAAACAGTCAGGACACTGATAAAATGACACGCGGAGACAGATATTTAAATAAGGCGGCGTATGTGCAGAGACATGCATCAGGATTCACAAAGTACTGTATGTAAAGATGCAGCTGCTTTGATCCGTCTCCTGTTGGCTCAGGTTGACAGAACATTCTCCGGTTCTTGACGGTTGAGCTGACAATGATTAGGTTTTTGTACCTCTCTAGACAAGCAATCTGTGAGGAGCCAAGGCTTAGCTCACGAGTGAGCGACTGTGAAAAAGATGGCTATAACAGATACTGGCAGAAGACAGGAAACTGCAGTCATGCCAATCAACACTTCATTGCCGGGAGGTATTCAGTCACAAAAAAAAAAAAAAAAAGTCAGGGTGATTTCAACAAAATTACTTTGTATGGGAGGAACAGAAGGGCAACGTAGTGTTGAATCATTGTGCTAATAATAAAATCAGAGGAGAAATTTGCAACGGCTTTCCCTTACACCGTTTAATTCTTGCATCTCCGAGCCAGCAAAGATGGAAGCCAAGACAACGTTTTTGCAAATCACTCAGAGACGTTAATGGGGGAATGGATAAGAGGAAAGCTGGCCAAGACAGCTAAAGAGTGGGGACAGCTGGCATGTTTCAATTATTTCTATCTGTCTCTTTGCTGCAGCTCACAAAAGAGTTGATGACACAAGAATGTGGATGGGTGTTAAGCTGCAACACATTTACAGTCGAAGCCCAGGAATAAATCGAGAACCTAATGTTAATTTCAGAGCGCTGGCAGCTCGCGCCGACGGATGAATCGGTTTTTCCTGCGCATATCAGATCCCAGTACAAACTGGAGCCATATGGTGAAAAAACCCACGTGCCAGTCACCTCTCATGGCACATATGCCAACGCAATAGATGCGAGGCGTGGATGGAATCTTCAAACTGGAAAGCGAGTGTGAAAGCTACTAAGGTCTGGATGCTGCCTCACAAGAAATGTCAAACCCTCATTAATCCCTGGCAGTCGTGTCTAGAGGTAGAGAGCCTAGATACTCACATTTTGTCGTTGCTCCATGAGCAATAGTCTGAGCCCCCCCCCCCTGAGCTCAGCTGCTCAGAGCAGATCCCCGAGACAGCCATCAGTCTCAGCTTCTTATGACCACAGCCGGGTCGTCTGAGGTCAGTGCCACCGGGCTCCACTAAATAAAAAGGGTGGACGTCTCGGAACTTAGAACACACAGAAAAACCTCAAGTCTAATGGCTCCTCTGACACAGCCCACCCTGCCAGCCAGGAATTTGACCCCTTTCACTGTCACTGACCCCCTCGCCCGTCCCAGTGACCCTTCTTACCCCGAGGCCTCTGCGGACAGACAGCCGACACGCAGGAAAAGGGGAGGGGGGGGACCTGGGCTTTGCTGATGAATTTTGTGTTGAAAACACGAAGACCCTTCAGGAGTTATTCGTGCAATGCTGCAAGCACTAGCCTTATCATTTCATTAATTAGCGTGACACGCCTGCCTGATGGACTTGAACGCCGCAGCAGCAGCTGTCTCAATTGATTATAGCAGTTGATGTGGTGCCGCAATTATCGAGGTGACTGGAGACAATGCCTGCCACTTCTAATAAAGG